CACAACCTCCATTATCATTCTTAGAACATCAACAAACCAAAAGACAGCAACACGGTACCCTGTCTTCAAACTCATCTTCTCTTCACCTACTTCATCAGCCCTCAAACACATTCAACCTTCAAACCAGAACATCAAACCACCATCACATTACCTTCAAACATCCATTTTTGAAACTCAGAATAACCACATCATCTCATCTTTCCAACCCCCTCGCCATTATCCACTTTCATCATCACCTTCTTTGAAAAAACTCTAAACAAATGCCACCCTATCATCTCATCTTCTTCATTCTCGTTTACCATTTCCAACAGACACCTTCCAAACTTCATACTACAATAACAGCAACGACACATCTCCATTCCACAATCTTCAACTACAACCATTTTCGGACAAAACTCAAACCAACCTCTAAAATCCCTCTATTACTACTCAAATAACACAACAACACGATGTTTGGAGCTTGTTTTTATGTTTTGACGGTTTTTTAGATCGCGAAGTGGGTGCTCTGTTCTAGGTGTATGGTTGTTTTATATGCAGGTGGTGTATCTCGAGCGTTAGCTATTCTCAATATCTTCACCGCAATGAATCATTGCTAACAGTGTAACACAAGGTGGAATAACGACACAAACTAACTGATTCCGCCATCTGTGACGTTCCCGACAATAGCGACTCACCAGCGACGACTCGAGAAAGTAACACGACATCACAGCCCAGAAATTCAGTTGCTAAACCTTCAAAATATAAAACCAAAACACGTTTAACCCATACTCATTCCACCAACTCTCATCTGCAACAGACATCAAGAAAACTCTTACAACCTTCAAAACCTTTTCCTTCCACCATTTCCAAACCTCAACCTTTTCCTTCAAACTTCAACCTCACTAACCACATAAAAGACACTCATCGTTTCCACTGTCCATACTGCAATAACACATGTGACAACCTTGAATTCACAAGCCACGTTTTCTGACCCCTTTGTTCATAACAAGGCAGCAATCCAAACGACATAAACCCGCAGTAACTCAACGACATGCTCTACCTGTCCCAAATCTTCAAACTGACATCCTCTTACTCTCATCCATCAACCTCAACCATAAACAAAGACCTTTAAAAATCTCTTCCTCACTCTTGATACACACTAGCCGTCTTCAAATTCACAACCATAAACTCAAATCATCATTAGCCAACAGAATCCACCATTGCCACTCAACAACGTCAATAACATTATAGAATAGAAGGAGAAGAAACATTTTGGTTTAGTACTTTTATCAAACAGACGGTAGGCGAGATTACGGAGCGTTGAAAATACGACATTATCATCACTCGAACTGAGCCACAACAACAACTGTCACATCCCATTCAAACCTGAAACTGTTTTTGTGATTGATGGCGCCATTGATCCATCCTCCTCGAGGGGATTTGATTTCCTTGAATTTACAATGTGACTTCATCTTTGAAGCCTAGGAATATTCTCTAAAGAGTAGAAGAATATGGGACTTTGCAAGACCTGTGCAACTCCTTTGAATAAAGCCTTCATATCTCGACACCGCTGCAAGACTGAAAGGAAGTGGATCTGGAAGAGCACGATTTTGCAGAGAGCTAGAGAGTTAAGAAAAAGGGATTGACGGCGGAGCCGTGACGTTCACACCGCACGGGAGAGAGGAGGACCGAGGGAGATTTGTATAGTTGCTATCAAGAGAAATAGATAATGGCTTCGGATGAATTCTCCACCTTCACCGAACTTCCGTTCTAACTCAGCCCCTCTGTTCTCGATGTATCAGGTTTCTCAATGTGTTTTTCTTTTCTTTCTCAATATCTGGTTTGACTCCTTGCTTCCTGAAGAGAGAGTAATTGTGTTCCTCAATTTTGTTTTTTTTTAATTTTTCATTTTTATTAGAATATTAGCTAGGTTTTTTAATCATTTTTGGGCTTAGAGCCCGTCAGACTGTTTGGTGGATCTCACCACCCTCCTATGATTCTTCTAACCCCCTCCTGCTTTTTTTAAATCGTCTTATGTTTTATCATGTAGGTTTGTTATATATTATTTATATTAAACACTTGTACATTCTTTTAAAAAAAACACCTAATCAATATCGAAACCATAAAATTTAAATTGATGGACTGTTGATTATATATCACTGTATATTGTTTGTATCCTGTCTCTGTTTTTCATCGTCTTGGCAGGTTTTCAACATCTCATCAACAAGGAATCAACTTCCCTTTGTATTGAATTAAAAGAGAGGTTTAAGTGTAGACTTGTCCCTCTCCGAGTGTTGAGATACTCACTGTAGTGTGGGTGGTTTCGATACTCGTCTTTCAATACGAAGACGCGTCCGTATTCTCCACTCCTTTCTCACCTAAAAAACCTTGGCTTCGCACCGAGCGTATTTTCAAAACTATTTAATAAAGCAATAAATTCCCTTTGTATTGAACTAAAAAAGAGGATTGAGTGTAGTCTTTTTCCTCTTCGAGTGTCGAGATGCTCACTGTAGTGTGGATGGTTTCGATACTCGTCTTTTAATACGAAGACGCTTTCCGTCCATTTTCAAACCATTTCTCTCCTAAAGACCTCGGTCCCGTACCGAGTGCATTTTCCAGTTTCTTTCAATAATAAATCAAATTCTCTTTGTATTGAACTAAAGAGAGGGGATTGAGTGTAGACTTATTCCTTTTCGAGAATCAGGATATTCACTGTAGTGTGGGTGGTCTCGATACTCGTCTTTTAATACAAAGGCGCGACTTTATTCACCTTCTCTTTCCACAACTTCCTTCCGCAACATTTCTCACCTAAAACCTCGGTTTCGTACCGAGTGCATTTTTCAAATCATTTTCACAACAAAAACTTGAATGGTCGTGGAGTGGTTAGGCGTAAGCCTTCTTCTATCCCGAGTGTTGACGTTTACTGTAGGGTTCTCTGTCGCAAAAGCACTTACCATTCAAAACCAAAAACATCTTTAATAAGAGAACAAAGTTCTTTTTGTGTTGAATTAAAAAAGAGAGGATTGAGTGTAGACTTCTTCCTCTCCGAGTTTCAGGATACTCACTGTAGTGTGTGTAGTTTTGATACTCGTCTTTCAATACAAAGACGCTACGTTCGTCACACCATTTTTATAACAAAAACTTTGAGAAAAAGAATTGGGTACTACCCGCAAGGGGTTACTATCTAAGGACTTATCTCGCCCCTAAAAATAATTCAACCAATCAAACGTGACACCTTGCCTCGCATGGCGAAAACCAACCTTTCAAAAAGGATATGTTACGTCCGTTCTACCGCAAACAGGTAACGCTTAAGTCTCCTCACATGCGAGCAGCAAAACACCTAAACTGCTAGAATGCGCACGATAGCAGCGTCTACCAGAACTCATCCTCAAACCGTAGGCCGAACTACGGCTGCTCTGATTCTTTACTTCTTTTAAGTAAAGACACGTAGGCACAAGGGCCACAATCCTTGCCGAGCATATTCCCCCCTATATCCGTAGCCCCGAACTACGTCGACTCTGATTTTCTCACATCCGTTGAGAATACGTAGGCCTAGGACTGCGAAGTCCTATCGAGTCTGTGCTTTCTCTTCTTCCCCCGTTACTTCTCTCTCTCTCCTATTTCTAACCCTTTTCTCCCTATCTTTTGGAACACTTTTTATAGCATAATATTTTAGCAAATATAATCGCACATCAATAAACAAATGGTTCCCATCGAGTACGATGGATGCGAGGGGTGCTAATACCTTCCCCTCGCATAACCGGCTTCCGAACCCGTTCTTGGTTGCGAGACCATCTTATCCATTCTTTTCTTAAGGTTTTCTCGATATTTTCCTTTCCCCTCATGGGATAAATAAAGTTCGGTGGCGACTCTTCTGTCTATCTTTTTCGCCTCCCCGTCGTTACACGATGCATTTTTTGAGTAGCGACATCTGGACCAAGGTCATTGGCAGTAATCTTCCAAACAAAGATATTGTAGTAGGAATGGATGTCTATTCAGCAGCAATTAAACTCCAAATTCTCCCCACAGGAATCAAATTCAAAAGAGAATTCAAACCTTATTCTGGGATACTGAAACTATATTCACTTTCTAAGGTTCCTGCTGGATATGAAGAGATCAAGTCCAACCTTTTCAGACTATGTGCAAACAGCCATGAAAAATTCCGCCATCCAAAACCTCTATGGAAGAATAAAGACTTCTTCGTTCAACTTCCCTTCAAGCTCAATGAAGATGTTAATCCAACCAAGGTCACTCATCCAGGGATGAGTCCATCAGATTACGCATTAGCTGGGGAAGAATGCAACCAGCTGCTCAAACAAGGTCTGATAAAACCCATCAAATCAGAATGGGCTTGCCAAGCATTCTATGTAGAAAAGAGATCTGAAATGTTGAGGGGGGGAAAAGGCTATTAATTTATTACAAACCTCTAAATCATTTTCTCAAAGATGATAAATTTCCCATTCCAAAAGCCTCGTCCTTAAATGTTTTCATCAAAGATGCCCAGATCTATTATAAGTTCGACCTTAAGTCATGATTTTGGCAATTGGGTATCGACCTTGAGGATCGCTACAAAATGGCATTCCGTATTCCTAATGCACAGTATCAATGGACTGTGTTACCATTTAGGCTTAAGGTAGCCCCATCACTCTTTCAAAAATCCATGACTAGAATTTTTTTAGCCCATTCTCAACAGTATCCTCATCTATATTGATGATGTGCTATTATTCTCAAAAGATGAAAAAACCCATAAACAATTATTGGGCCAATTTCTTCAAATAGCCCAACAGCATGGAATGATGCTCTCTGAAAAGAAAAGTCAATTAGGACAAACAGAAATTGATTTCTTAGAGATGCATTTCTCCCAAGGGAAATATCAACCTCAGCCTCATATTGCCCAAGAACTGTTAAACTTTCCTGATGAAAATCTCACAGTTAAGCAAATCCAACAATTTATTGGTATAATTAATTATATCAAAGATTTCCTGCCGAAACTAGCGAGATACACAAGTCCTTTATCCTAAATGCTCAAGAAAGAACCTCCCTCATGGGGAACACAGCAAACTGAAGCAGTTAAAGCTTTGAAGAAGATCACACAAACTCCTCAGGCCCTGAAAATCCCTGAAGATGGCAAAAGAATTCTACAGACAGATGCCAGTGATCACTATTGGGGAGCAGTCTTGATAGAAGAACTTGGAGGAAAAAGATACTATTGTGGTCATGCCAATGGCCAATTTAAAGAACCTGAAAAACACTACTACACCACCTGCAAAGAGGCCCTTGCCATAAAGATGAGAATCCAAAAGTTTGACTTCCACCTAAGAGGCTACCAATTTGAAGTTCAGACGGACAACTGCTCTTTCCCTAAGATCCTTGAATTCAAAAATAAATACGTCCTGATCCTCAAACTTTTAGGCTCAAAGATTGGTTTTCCAGATATGATTTCTCTGTAAAACATATCAAAGGAACCCAAAATGTAATCCCTGATCTACTATCCCGGCCTATGAAACCCATCCAGATCATCACAGCCAAGCACACTTTCCCTCTAATTCTTATGGTCAAACCACTACCAACCCATGCATCCAAAACCAAGAATCTTCCTCCAGTAATAACAGTATCCTCTTCACCGTCCCAACTCAAGCAGTATGCCAAGAACAATCTCTTCTATTACATGACAAAAATCATAAGGAATAAACTACCAGTTCATAGTCCTTATTTCCCAGATACACCTTTTCTCCTACCAATTTTAATAAACCCAAATGCTAAATTCAGAAAAAACCATTTGTGGTATATTTGGTGTGCCATATGCTTGTATTATATGCTTGTTCTTATTCCCACTGAGGCCATGTACCAACATATAATGGATCCTGAGAACCACAATTCTTTGATTTGGACCACTCTAGAATGGTATTCTCCATTACAATGGTAGAGAGATCAATTAAAACCAGTCATCGATGAGGTCAAGGAACAGAGACTATCTTTAGAAGATATTGGTAAACTCAAGTCTGTTTTCTTTCTACACAGGCCCTATGTGATAGATCCTGCAACTAAGTTGCTCAATTGTAAGAGTTATGTTCACCTATGGAAAACCATTGATGAATATCATCCCAGTCTAAAAATCACAAGGGAATTACTTGAGTATGTTAACTACATCAATCTCTATGATCCAAAGAAACTCGATTATAGTTCAACTTGCATGCATCATGAAAAGTTCAGAAGACCAGAGGTTGGAGAAAGCTCGACTCAAGCCACACAACATAAACCAAATTCTCCAATGGAAGCTGAATTCTCTGAAGGACAGGTGGAAGAAGCTAATATGAGGTTAGCGGATCACACCTACATGATGGATGACATCTGGCAGCGTGAGTCATCTCGCTATGGAGATTGCTTTTCTGATGGAAATTTATCTGATCAAAATATGTCCCCCTCTCATGAACCAATTTGCAAATACTAAATGGACAAGTGTCCTTCAAAGATCACAAGCATGTTTGTGAATAGTAAATTTTATCTTTTTGTGCAATAATGTAACCCATAAGTGATAAGTGTGTCGGACTTTTGAAAAAGGCATTCATATAGTATTAAATATGCCATGCTTGTAAATAGTGTTGCTTTTGTCCTATATGTATCTCCTTGGCTATAAAAGGAGAGCTTTTGTAACATATCTTCATCAAGCATTCACAAATAAACTCTCTTGTGTGCTTAAGAACAAACATGTTCTAAAAATCTCTTATTTCTCCCTCAAAGCTTTAGTTATTGTATTCATATCATAATTCCCTCATAGATGCAAGTATGCTCTACACCTGCCTCTAAATGAGGATCTTGTGTATCAGAAAACAGCTGACCATTGACCCATACTACAGTCCTTGTTGTTATGAAATTTTAGTTTTAATTGTTAGTCTGGGTTATGCCTATGGTTGGCTATTTGAGGACGATACAGTTAAGGTTGGGTTTCATGGCATGTAAGGCTCCCGGACAATGTGGTATTAGAGTCTGTACAGAAAGAAGGGGTGCATATGGTATGAATATAATAAAGAGAGTGAGTAAGGGAGAAATCACTTAAACATGGAAACACCTAAATTAAATAAGAAATATCAACAACAAAATAATAAAATATACTCAATTAAACAACAAAAAGCGAATTTGAGTTAAACAACAACAAACATTATTAACTTAAACGACAATCAATATTGAGTTGGACAACGTGACTATGATTACACAACAATAAAATGACAAAACTTAGAAGTTTGTATGGTTGTAAAAAAAACACGGAATTCTTTTTTGTGATTGGAGGAGTGGATGTTAAGTTTTGAGATTGACATATTAAACTTTTAAAAAATTTATAAAAAATGGCCAATTTGATGCATTTTTTTTGAACGGGTTAATTTTACAAAACCGGCTCCGATTCTTTGGTTCGAATGGTTTTGGGTGGTCCAATCCAGTTTTTTTTTATTTTACTCCTGTTTTAACCCACTAACAATTTTGAAAGATTGACCTAACCAGATTTGTCTCTAATTGTTGGTCCAATCGGTTGAATCGGTCGGTTCGGTCTGGATTTTAAAACATTACCTTTAAGTTAATTTCAAAAACCTCAAGCACTACACCACATAGCCATTTATGATTTAAATGATTCATAAAATCAAATTAATCATTATTATATATCAATTAAATATTTTGGAAATTTTTCCAACAATATCTTCATTCAAATCATATATTAAATTATATGTTAAAGTTGTATCCTCTTAATACAAATGATACCAAAATTATTTGTGATGTATGAAATTTTAAAATAAAATAAGAAAACCTTATACTATTACCTTTTCACATACAACTACTAAGTTTGAGCTATTACATTTTAACATTTGGAGGTCAGTATCAACTTCTTTTGTTTATGGACACAAATACTTTTCTATCATACTTGATGATTTATGTATATTAATATGGATCATTCTCCTTAAATTTAAATATGAAGTATTCACACATGTCTAATCTTTTATCCAATTGATTGAAAGCCAACTTAATCTCACACACAAAACTATAAAGATCTATAATAGTTATGAGTATTTTTACCAATATTTTACACATACAAAGTTATTCACCACCAAAGATCTTGTGTTGAAATTCTACAGGAAAAATGGTAGAGTAAAGAGGAAACATCGACGCATCCTGAATGTTGGAAGAGCTTTACTCTACCAGTCTAAACTTCCGAGAAATATTTATGGATGTACTGGTAAAAAAGTACATGTGTGTATGTGTTCCTCCTGCAAGAGTAGAGGGACTCAGAGGCCTTAGTAGATATATAATGGATAATGCTGGTTAGGGCTGGCCCACGGTGGCGAGAAGCCCTGTATGATGGTTTTAGGAATCCTACTAATGTAAGGTGAAAGGCTTTGTAGATGAATAATGTACTTATATATAAGCTTATGAAGGGTGTGACCAGTGTGAATTATGGTTTCCTTTTCCTCCACTGAGGGAGGTGTAGTTATATAGGCCTTTTGGGCCTAGGGTTTTCTTGGAAAGCGTCACTACCTACCCAGTTAATGATGGACCATTAAATCCATATTTCCAAGAAGTACGTGGGTCAGTTAATGATCTTGACTCCTCTCTGTCTAATAAAAGTCTTATTCAACATTTCTCATAACTAGGAGATAGGAAAGCATTAGGGCTTGGAGATACCTTCCCTTGGACGACATATTACTTTCGTCTCTCCTGGTAGAGCTGACAAAACGGGCCAGATTAATCGGGCCAGCCTAACATCTCGTAAAAAATTTCGAGCTTGAACATAAAAATTAAAACCCATTTATTATCTGAGCTTTTAAGTCTGACCCGTTAAAAGCATGAAGTCTAACCGGGCAAATCTGATTGGGTTGCAGGTAGCCTGCTTAATTTTTTTTACAAAAACTCTAATATACTCATCTATTAGTATCCATATTTTTTTTAACATAAATACAAGATTGATTTTTTATTTATAATAAATACATAATATAATATAATTTTTCACACTTCACACCATTCATGTTCACTCAAAATATTACATCATTTAATGTGTATATATTTAATACACCATCCAACTATACTTTTAAAGCAACACTAATTGCATGAGTTGAGAAAAAAGTTGGGCTTTTACGTGGTAAATTGAAAAAATAACTTTCTTCACTTATGCAACTATGTATTCAGGTAACATTGTATACTCTTAGTTGATTCTTCCGAGATGTTACTATCGTAATTGGAAAAAAAACAACCGGCGGAAAAAATAGAGTCGCCACCGAACGTTATTTATCCCGATGGGACAAAGGAAATGATCGAAGAAACCTCAAAAAGGGAATATGGTCTCGCAACTAAATCCTGAGTTCGGGAGTCGATTATGCGAGAGGAATGTATTAGCACCCCTCGCGTCCATTGTACTCAATGAGATCCGCTCTTGTTCTAATCAAATGGTGTGTTTATCTAAAGCCTACTGCTAACGGAAATGGAAACGGGAGACTCGATAAGACTTCATCGCCCTAGGCCTATGTATTCCCTTGTGTAATAGGAAAGTCAAGGTCAACGTTGTTCCGAGGACTACGGGTGAAAAGGGGAAGGGTTCTCGCCAAGACTTTGTCATCTTGTGCCTATGTATCCTCATTCAGACGAGAATGAGGAAATCAGAGCGTTCATAGTTCGGCCTACGAATTGTAAAGTTTCTTTTATGAGCGATGTTAAGTTCACATTCCAGCAGTTAGGGTTGATGCTTGTTTGTGGTAGAAGGGAAATAACATGCCCTTTCAGAAAAAAGGTTTGAGAGACAATCCTGAAGGATAAAATGGTTTGCAGTTTGTTTAAGAGTTTTAACAAAAGTGAATTGACTTTGTTTGAGATGCGAATTATATTAAAGTCTATGACATAGGATCGAATGCTTCGTAAGATCAACCCAAGATGGGACATATGCAAAGCACTCTAGAGAAGGTAACAAGAGACTTTCACTTATCACTTCCCATGTACTTAAGGTTTGTGGCGCACAATAATTATCATATTTATTACATGTTTTGATTATTTTTTTTGAGAAAGAAGAGAGAGACTCGAAGGGCATAGAGAAAATCTAGGGGAAACTCACCTAGATGTTGTCATGTATTATGGCCCTATAGTTGAGGATGAGAAAGAGAAATCTACCTAATGTTATCATACAAAGATGGACCTAAGGTTAAGTTCAAGGCGGGACTATCCTAATGTTACCATGCAAAGGACTGAGAGCCTAATGTTTATCATACTTTGAGCCTAATCAAAAATTAAGTTCAAACTAGGAGCCTTGAGGGAGCATGTGGTCAAGAACAAGTAAACATTATACAACTCCATCTCAAACAACAAATAGGAATCCAAAACTCAAAGGAGAAGAAAAAAGATGAAGAAAAGAAGGATGTCAAAGCACTATAAGGTTAGAAGAATCAAACATCAATTTTTAAGTGCTACACATCAAGGC